GCACGAAGGGCAGAAGCTGATTTTGAGGATTTGCACAAAGCTGGAAGGTTTTAGCACAAAGAAGGATGCATGCTTTAAGCACAAAGCAGATAATCGGTTGTTGCTTCTTCTTAAGCACAAAGCTAAACAATTTTTGGTGTGTTTAATTGAAACCGAGAGGCTTCAATTTATAGGCAGAGAGTTCAACAAATTTCCCAAGATTTTCTCTCAAAGAAAGATATCACGAAAACTGAAAATGGTTACAAAAAGATAATGATAGAGTTTTACAATTTTGAAAGAAGGAAGAGATAAGCCCTTATCACTTTATCTCCAATAAGTTGGGTATTGAGCATTTAGCCAAATGGGCTGATTTCCTCTAAAAACCCAATAAGATTTGGACTACATCGTTTGTGGTGTGGATCTTAATATTCTTCAATCCCGGACTTATAGCCTATGAAGTTAAACGGACCACGATTTTTCATCATCGTCTAGAGATTATTTGGGTATCACAAAAAATATCCAACACTATTTTTCAACAATGCATTCTTAAAAAAATTACTTGAACAAAATCCATTCTCAAAAAAATTTACATCAAACATGCCCTTAAACTCGCCATGGATTGTATTGTCTCTTTTTTTCTCGAAGCAGTCAAGATCTTAAGAATCTTATCAAGTTTCAAATAATAATAATAATAATTAAAAAAAAACTTGTATAAACAAAACTAGCCCCAAGACTGGCTGTGGAAAACTGTATTTTGGAGGGGATACAGAGCGTGCTGTGTTTTGTGTAGAAATTATAAAGAGATGCAATTGAAAAGATCAAAAAAGTTCCAAATTTCAAAACACATTAAAAAATTGATTAGCCTTTGCACCAATATCAAATTTATTCTTACGTTCGTCTCTAGCAAGAAGAAATATCCGATAAAAAAGATATATTAAGACGACGAACACTTGATCAGTTTCACTTATTTAATGTAGACTTAAAAATACTCTTGTTTATGATATCTGTTAAGAATTTGGATTCCATCTTAAAAAGTCAACCTTATTAAGAGGAGTATTTCAAAATCTTTATTAATTGATTTTTGTCAACATCATTTATCGATATGGGATATATATCCCTTAACACGCCCCTGTAAGATGGTGGCTCATTTGAGTAGACCAATCTTGAAATTTACGTGCTCATTTTTAGAGTCTTAACGGGATCGAATAACTCGTTGGAGTATAATGAGCTCTGATATCATATTAAGAATTGAGGTTCCATCTTAAAAGGTCAACCTTGTTAAGAGGAGTATTCCAAAATTTTTATTAATTGGTCTGTGTCAACATAATTTATCGATGTGGGATATATATCCCTTTAACAATATCGATGCCATGTTGATTGAATGTGTCAAAAGGGGAGGTGTAATCCAAAATAACAAAATCTGCTAAGAAATTAGTAAATTCAGATCTTTCTGGGTGGGGTTAATTTTATTTCTGGTAGTCAATTTCAATTAGGTCACTCAACATTAATTTGTCACAGCTAAATTACTTCACTTTAATTTACTTTTAATGCTAGATATTTTGTTATTACTCACATTATAATCCTACTTGAACGTTAAAAATTGATATCGATCTAATATGCCCTATTTTTCTAGTAAATATACCACTTAATCGTGTTATGACCGTAAAATTTGAACGTAAGTAGTGATTAGAAATCGATGGTAATTCATCTGGCAATCCAAAGCAAACTCAAAGCTCTATTTTTACCTCCAATTTCAAGATTTTGCAGCCACGCTATAATTACATGGCATATTTACCTTGAAATATGGGCTAAAGAAGGATTAGAGGCTAAAGCGATAATTGAAGTTTAGTGACTTGATAGCAACAAATTAAAGTTAGGTGACCTAATTGAGACTTCACTGAAAATCCAGTGACCAAAAATGAAATTAACTGTCTGCGTGTCTGTCAACAACAAAAGGATGATTAATTAATTATATTTCACACGTAATTGTTCTTTGCTACATCATATTTGCAATGAAGGACATCAACATTTTCTCATTTTTTAATATAGTTCCCATATTTTTTTTTTGTCACGTTGATATCTTCTATCGTCCACTAATTAACACATTTGTCCCTTATGGTTTTCACTTTTCATCCAAAAAATATTAGGAATGCATAAATATTTGTCCCTTATTTCGATGTATGCTAATACGGACAGAAATTTTCATCGCTGACACGATTTATTAATTAATCGAAAGTTAATAATAAATATGACAATAATAAATGTTAATAACCTTTATCGTAATTAAAATACGGTCTCATGCCAATAACAAAATGAACGAAATTTCGAAAAATGTCCCAAATTTTCGAGGAAATTGAAATGAGTATTATGAATCATTAGGAAACATTTAGTTTCATAATATACCATTTTTTTTTTCTCATATTCACTGGTAAAAGTCAAATCAAAATGCCACGTGTCAAATATTAAATAAATAATTTTCAAAAATCAATTTTAAGAATATATTAAAATTGATAAATTGGCATAGTTATCAACGTGCCTTGCCTCGTGTTTACTTAGCATGGATGTTGACATTGTTTGATAGTGCACTTTCTGTGTCGTTAATGGCAAGCTGTCTATGTTGATAATTTAATTTATATTTTAATATATTATTCTTAGTTAATATTATGATTGCCTTCTTTTAGTCCCATTTGCACACCAGAAGCTCAAAATATCTACTTTTTTGTGTTCAATCTAAAGATGGCAACAGGGCGAGTTCGGAAGGCGGGTTTACCCCGTTTATTATTATTTTTTTTCAAAAACTTTCAATTAATTATTTTTTGTTTTTAATTTGTAGTTAATTATTATTTTTATTCTTCATGAGGCGGATTCGGGGCGCTTCTGGGCAGGGCACCCCTGCCCCGCCCCACCAACCTCTCGGGGCGGGGCGGAAAGAATTTTTTTGCCATCACTAGTTCAATCAGAAATTAAATTCTCAATAAATTTTGTTTTACAAATCGAGTCTTATTTTCGATAAATTTGAAGTTGACAATGTAAATTATTTTGTTGACTCCATTTGTTTAATTGCTACACATATCTTAATAACATAACATGTCATATTTATTAGCGAGAGCCTTTTAAGTTACGTGTATTTAATTTTTTTTCATTAAACTATAATTGTTTAATTGATTTAAGGCTCTCAAGATTAGAGTATAAAACTGTTAGCTAAACTGTTATCGCAACTTATCTTTCACGTAGTTGCCAAGCAACACCTTACAAGAAAACAGTGAAATGAAAGTAATGTCTTTAGATTAAAAGGTGTGAATGTATCTTCGTTTTTAACACTTCTATGACTTGACATAGTGTGATAAGTTGACATGTAAACATCACTCTTTCTATGACCTCCAGATCGAGAGCAGGCAAACGTAGCAATTACATAAAAGATTTGTTGTGGTATCGACACCAACAAAGTAGTTTTCATCAATTTGGGATACGACAAGTAATGAAATAAAGAAAAGTGGTGGAGGTGGGGGTGGATTAATTATTTTATAGTAGAATTAAATATTAATAATAAATTAATTTAATAATTATTATTTCATAATTAAATTATAAATAAATTTTAATGAAAACCTGATTTTTGAAATTTAAAACTTCAAACCTTAATTTTGAAATTGTGATACCTAAATACCTTATTTATGTATTGTTCCCTTTGTTTAATTGCTACACATCTTAATAACATAACATGTCATATTTATTAGCGAGATCCTTTTAAGTTACGTGTATTTAATTTTTTTTCATTAAACTATAATTGTTTAATTGATTTAAAGCTCTCAAGATTAGAGTATAAAACTGTTAGCTAGTAGTCATATCGCAACTTATCTTTCACGTAGTTGCTAAGCAACACCTTACAAGAAAACAGTGAAATGAAAGTAATGTCTTTAGATTAAACGGTGTGAATGTATCTTCGTTTTTTAACACTTTTATGACTTGACATAGTGTGATAAGTTAACATGTAAACATCACTCTTTCTATGACCTCCAGATCGAGAGCAGGCAAACGTAGCAATTACATAAAAGATTTGTTGTGGTATCGACACCAACAAAGTAGTTTTCATCAATTTGGGATACGACAAGTAATGAAATAAAGAAACTGAAAACTAAGATAGAATTTTAATGATCAAATTGAAACTAAATTAAAGATCATTTCACGCCTGAGTATATTTCAACAAATGTGTTCTGCACATGTTTGCATTTGTAAGGTCCAAAATTAGACGAGTCTTAAAGCAATGTAAAAAAGAACATGAGGGGCATACCCTGTTCCTTGATATTCTCTATATGCACATGAAAACTAATCCAACATAATCCATTCGATGGATACAACAAATGAGTTGGACACAACCCCTAGTTCCAAAAATAGTTTAAAGGCTTTATCAATATTAAAAAGAAACAAATATATCACCTAGAAATGCTGCACCATGGAGAGCAATAGAGCCACTGATGAAGTACCACAAAAGAATGTGCAAAAAGTCTCATCATGTTTACAAGGAATTCCATAAAAGACAGTTCACTACAGACAACAGCTCCATTGATAAAATAATAAAGATCTTGATGGGTTGATTATTTTAGTTTAAACTGATCCCAAACCCCTTTTCCACCCCTGCCCCAACAACAACGGCGAAAAACAACCGAAACTTTGTTCACAACAAATTAGGGGTCGACTATATGAATCCTTGTTTCCCACTCCATTCAATTGCTAGAGTTAGCGTGAGATTTAAAGAAACAAGCTCCTTAACAAATACATCACTCCTATTTGACAATAAATTACGCTGACTGTCAATCTAGTACAACTCTACTCCATTATCCGGGATAGTGACTGGCTATGAAAAATATAGATGGATTCAACCTCCACACCCCCCCCCCCACCCACCCAAAACCGCCCAACACCTAATGCAAACAAATACATACATAATACAATAGCACAACACCACCTATAAAGTAGAGCTCCCAAAGCATGCTATTATCTAACAATACATTCACCAAAAAAGCATGGAAGAAAACAGAAGTAAAGCAAGAAGTTTTCGCTATGAAGACTACAATACCAGAAGGGTTTTCTTAAGGAGCTATCCACTTCGCTGGGGATCTGAATCCGAGGCTGAAGAAAGCAAAGAAGAAGGTCAGGAATACAAAGAAGAGGCTGTCAATGTCAAAACTGTAAAAACTGGGAAGAAACCAGTTAAGAAGATAATCCTTGCAGTTATCCAATGGGGAGGAGAAAGGATCATACTTTTGAGAAGGGTCAAGGATAAGATAACGATTTATCTTGTCAACTGTATGCCTGTCAATTTCAAGGTTCCTACAGCTTTGATTTCAATTTGATGTCTCTTTCGTTCATGGAACTTCTGTTTTTCCTACTTCAATCTCTCATGTAAATAAGAAAATATGGCAATGAGTTCTCTATTACACAGAATGACACCACGTAAGAGTTCTCTAAGACTCATTTTATATAATCAATTCAGAATGGGCTCTTGTTCACTAGTCTATGTCATAATAATAATTTCCTCGTTCCCCACAAAAAGCACCAGATATATCAACAAAAGAACTTCCTATATGATATCCTTATCATACACATTACAGTATGTTAGTTGCAATTCAAATATTTCTGCTACAGGAAATGTTTCGCATACAGCTGTCCTTCATAAGATGAGTCAGAAGAGAGCAGGGTCAATCCAAAAGTCCAAACTAACATGACCTATTTGGATATATTTCTGCTACAGGAAATGTTTCGCATACAGCAGTCCTTCATAAGATGAGTCAGAAGAGAGCAGGGTCAATCCAAAAGTCCAAACTAACATGACCTATTTGGATTTAGCAATGAACCAAATGGAGTGACGAAAAATGATTCATAGAGCCAACTCTAAATTTATTGACAACAAGGCTTACTTTGTTGGTGTGTGTGAACAAGTTGTTCATCATTAATATGCATATTGAGTTCATTTCCTTTCATATGGGCCGTGCATGCTAACTTCCAGTGAGCACCAAACTCGGGAAGGGTTTTGGAGTCAGCTCACCTTGGGGAATGGCAACCTTCTAGTTTCTAAAGGTTTATCATGAACCTCATTGTCCCGTTAATAAATGGGCATGAGGAAGGTTAGAGACAGTTGTGCCCAGAATGCAGCCTATGATTTAAAGAAGGTTTATGTCAGAAATCCACAAGTCATTTATTTGAAAACTAGGACGCAGTCCACAGTAGATTCCTAAGAACCGAGAGATCAAAGGGAGTGCAAGTATGAGAACAAGGCTTAATTTGTTGTCAACTTTTTTTCATCCCAGCAGCCCGCCACGAAAAGAATTGGCATGAAAAGCATAAACAAATCAAAAAAGTGAGGAGAAACACCATGTGGTGTTTACATGGATCACCAAACATGTAATAAATAATCAACCAAAAAGGTATCGCATAAAACTTAAACAGTAAAAAAGTCACGGTAAAGAATGCTTTAGTGTCATCCAAACAAATTCATTAGTTTAGCTTTCAACAGCATGAAGCAGTACAAAAAAAAAAAAGAGAGAGAGAAAAATAGAGGGTTTAAATGGTTGTTGGAGTACATGTGCATAGCTCTCCTCTTAGAAGAAGATTATTGAGACGCCCATTGTGAAGCATCCTACAGCCACCCATGGGCTTAATCTCTCACCTATTCCAGGAATCATATAACAGTGTCAGAGTTTCAAAGCATAGATTAACTTCATATATATTTATATGACAAGCATCACTTAACCTTCCATCGCATATAAACAGTGTAAATAGTAATAAATATCATGAACCTTTTTCATTTTTTTCTATTAAGCAAGAAAAAGCTAAAAAAAAAATAAACAACAGCTTGCCCATTACCATTCAAAATTAAAAGAAATGCAAGGAAAAATTTCCAGATGCAAAATCTTGAATGAAAAGGAAGGCCTAAGAAGTTCATAAAATAGATCAAAATAATCATATATACATGACTAGATAGCTTGTTTCCTGGGGTGGAATCAAAACATAAGATGTCAGAAACAAGAGCAAGCAAGAAAATAAACAGCCTGTAAAGTAGATTATCTGTTAATTTTTCCATGCAGAGCAAAAGGATAGAATTTTGTGAGCGAAGGAAGAAAAGGATCAGAAACATATAATTTAAGCATCTATGAACCATCTGAGAGTGTAGAATCCCAGTGAATATAGTTCCACAGTGGAAAATGATTAAACAAGTTTTGTACAGAAGGCATTTTTCTAGAATTTAGAACTTCAAAAAATAAAACTAGCTTTGTGCTTTCACATATATAATAAAGCATGAACCCACTTTTCGCTTTAAACTGGTTCTTTCCCACCTTATTAGAATTGTCCCATAAATTATTTTGTAAAATCAAATGCGCGGTTTTTTGAACTTTAAAACCTCGGGAATACTTCAAAATTGTACAACAATACATTATGAACCAGTTCCTGCAAAAGCAGCATAGTGCACATCGTGTTTAAGTAAATCATACCTATCCTAGCAGCCTTCCAGAAGACACCTAGAAACCTGCCACATTAGTACTTATTAACATGAATATGAACATGTTTTTATGGAAGAAAAAAGTAAACGGAATAAACCTAAAACCAAAAAAACTCGCGAATATAGTGAGTAGATGATATATAAAAAAGCCAGAGGAACAGAAATAAGCTAACAAGACATACTTATTTCTCTGCTACCACTCGAATAATAAAACAGGACTCTGGAATTATCAAAAGAATTGCATACACCATGATTGAAGAAAATTCACAACTATCTCAAGTCGGTTCCAATTGTATGGCTGTAGAGCAAACAAGTCGAGATTTTCCATGTTTAAGTTTAAACAGAAAAGTATGTAGAGCCCTATGATGCTTCGAGTCCAGTAAAAACTGAGTAGTCTTTCTTATTTTCCCAATTTGGTACAACTCAACCATTAAGCACGCTGAGTTCAGACTAATGCCTGAACAAAAAGATTTCATTATGGAGACCATTACTATATACAGGAGGGATATTCATTTGGTACCGATTCTCATTGAGGTGATGTCAACAAGAGGAAGTTATAAATGCTATAACGAAACTTCACAAGGAGGTATCTTGAGAAATCTACTAGGCCGGTCCTAATAGGAAGTTTGGCGAATATTTTAGGTACTCTACCTTTCCTCAAAAGATGAATCCATAAGTTAACCCAACGTATCAGGAAATGAATATCACTGTTTCAATTTATTTTTTTTTTCGATAACCGTGAATGTTCAAACCAGCTTGCGCACACATCGACTAATCTCACGGGGCTTGAAGTTTACGGTCGGATACTCACCTAAGTGGCTCTAATGGGACTCGAACTGGTAACCATTGGGAAGTAAACTCAAAGCCTGACCAACTGAGCAACCCTTCAATATTCAAATATCACTATTACAAATTTGCAGAAGAAATTTGGGAAATTTTTTTTATACCAGTTGGATAAGGCACAGATAATACCAATAAAAGTTATTTGGAACGCCATACTGCATCCCTCCACTTTGATGAGGAAGTTGAAGGGAGAAAGGCGAAATCTAAGATGATTTTATCGTTCCGTACGAGCCATGCCGCATTATGACAAAAGATCTGATATTAATGAGGTGGTAATGGTTTAATCCTAGTCATTTTTTTTGACCCAACAGGGAAAATTTTATCTGTCCTCTTTCAAATCATATTAACTAAACAAAAACAAATGAAAGAAAGTTTTTAATAACAAATTTGCATCTATTACATGAAAAACTTTCCGAAGTTTTATCTTACATTCAACCAAAAGTACAGATGGTAAAATGGAACAAAAGAGTTGTAGTAAATTGCATTCAAAGTGCTACGGTTTACTAATGAGACCGAGCCTTTCAAATGTTATTACGTTATATCTTACTAAGGAGTTGTTTGACAAAGCTTTTGATTAAAGTTTTAGCAGCTTTTGATAAAATTTTATGTAATGTGGTTGAAAAACTTGATAAAAGTTGTGGATATGGTTAACATTGAAGTTAGACCAGTTGAAAAATAAATAAAATTTTAGCAAAGTTCTATTAAACAAGCACTAAATCTACCATTAGATAGCGTCTTTATACATCTTAAACCATTTCATATAACATTTGCATAGATGTAATGAAAGTGTAGGAATTACAAAGAAAATCACAAAAAGGAATTTCATAAACTTTCGTCTTTTCTTGATAACGTCTGAAAACAACTCTTGAACTTCATTATGACTTCTCCCTCATCAGATATCTTCCATCGTCAGTAAGAAACCCAAATTATTGAGTTTTAGCATACACAATTACTATATTCGCCGATATGAGCATATAACGTCTGAAAACGACTCCTGAAATTTATTATGACCCCCCTAATTGGATATCCAGGTATTCCATTTTCAGTAAGAAACCCAAATTATTGAGCTTTAGCATACTTTATCTTGCTGAATTTGACAATATGCACATATAAGCATTTTAATCAATGCTTCATATGTGTTTTCAGTTTTCTCAATAATCTCCACCTTCAATTAAAAAAGATGGAGGATGCCTTACAAGATGATAAAGAAGTGTTCTCATGATGGCAGGTATAGTTGCTATGGTGCTTTTAGTGGCTATGCTTGCAAATTGATAGTTAGGTCACTGCTATCTTTCCTTAATTGACATTAAGGATAGAAATTTACGACAAATAGCCCGAGAGATAGTTAATATGCTAATCGCTTTAGTGCCCTGATGATTTAGAATTTCAGATATTAACCTTGTTCTTAGTCATCATAAACATCTTAATAAAGCCTATTATATCACAAGGTAGAATGAAAGCTCGAGAAATACCTCGAAATGTATATCTTAGCATAGCTCTCTCAATAATGGGGGGCAGTTAGAATGTTATGCTATACATAGATCATGTTGACTAGCATCCTATATTTGATCAAATGTTCCAAAGTATGTCAATGAAACCAGGTAACCTATCTTTGGTTAAATCAATGGATCTACTGAAGCATTTCCCGATGAACTAGAGATTGCAGAACGCCAATACATCCATATGAAATTTTCACATTGAATAACAGACAATCAATCTAGTGTTCAACTTTCAAATTCTGACACAAATCTTTCAAACATTCAGGAAAAAAGTATCTGGAGATAGAGAAATTCAACCATATTCATGATAATAGATCACACGATATACAAAATTTATGCAGTAATTAATATTTGCACATTATGCGACCGTGTAACAAAAAGACATACCCAGTTCTTTGCTCAAGAAGAGCTGGAAATTGCATCTTCAAATAAGTGCAGGCACAGATGCCTAACAACACCACTGTGAGGAAAGAATGGAAATTGAAGAGAGCTGACTGAAAAGACGATGGAAAAT